ACGGCAGAACTGCTGGGAGCACGGTGGCTTCCGGGAGGACGGCGCCCACACAGGGACGGGCAATGCCGGGTGCTCTGCGTTCGCAAGCTGGAGTTTAACCCTCTTAGTGCGGCGGGCCGACTAAGGCTTTTGCGTCTAGGGCGAAAAGTGCAGCGGGTCGAAATATCCTACAGAGCTGATGATATCGGCCCGCCGCACTAAGGGTTAGAGAAGCGTGTTCAGGGACACGGGGCACGGCTGCCCCGTCACCGCAGGGCCCGAGCCACCTCCCATCACCCCGGAACGCTCTGGCGTCTCCCCGAGTCCAGGGTGGCAGGGACGTGGCTGCTCCTGCTCCTCGGGTCTGGCGCGTTGCTGGCCTGTCTGTGCCGTTTCTTTCAGAATTAATTTTGGGCTGAAAAAGCCTCAAAGAAGGCTTTGTTCCTCTGACACTTGCTCTGGGAGAAAAAAAAAAATCCCGTGGAAAATCTGACATCTGCAACGTGGGGAGGAATCGCTAGATGGGAGGAATATAATTATCCTCCGCTCCTGCAAGAATGTTTCAGATTTTTAAGTGTCTCATATCAGCTTAGGATTTGAATGACATTTTAATTATTTTGTTTTTTTCTTCCTCTCCTGGTTTGAGTCTCCAAAGAGTCCCGCGCCCGGGCTCTGAGCCGCGCGGTGCTCCCAGGCACGTGGGCGCTGGTGGCCCTGCGCAGTGGGGCGGCGCGTTTCCGCGGCCAGGCTCCGCGCTGGTCAGTGGCCTGGTCACGGACACGCCTGAGTTCTGGAGCTCTGTTTTCACGCAAACGCCAACGAGCAGCGCGGGAGCACCAGCCGACGCCGCCTCTCTGGACTCTTGTGAGCTGAGCAAGCCCCGTTTCCAGGGGATGTGACTCACAGTTTTCAAATCAGCTCAGCCTTCAAATCTCCACGCGGTAGCGCACGTGGGTGCCCACCACACAGCTACACTCCCAGGTGCCATGACACCAGGCTCGCGGCCCAGTGGCCCAGGCTGCAGGTGTCTGGCGGCTACGGCCCTCTCGGCTTTCACACCCTCACAGTCCCCGCCCCACCCTGTGGGCTGCACGTCTCGCGCACG